ATATCTAGTTTCCAGAAAAAATTGTGGTTTAGGTTGAATAAAGTGTTTGCAATGTGAAAAATAACTAGGTTTGTTACGTAACCTGTGTGAGTCTGAAGTATTAGAGGGGTAAGTAGGGACACCGAATGATGCATTGCAAGTTTAAGTTCAAATGAAATGAATGGGAACAGCACATAGGATAAGAAAGGAACAAATACACTTAGAAGCAAAATACTACGACCGCTTGCAGGTTGCAGTACGATTAGCAGCATTTGTAAGCCTGTGTTAATGTGTCATACCCCTGCAGGTTTGTTTCAGCTTGTTCCTCTTTGTCACGACAGTTTGTCTGAGTGGGCACATGGTGTTGGAGACTCCTCCCTTGGATATATTGAATATTTTAACAGCTTTTTGACTGATACTTCTGCAGTGAGAGCGCAAATGATTTGGCCTCCTTAGAGCTCTGTTACGTACCTAGTTGTATCGTGTTGCTTCATGAAAAAACAACCAGCTGCTGATTACAGGGCTTTATCTCGCTGACAAATGCTACTAATTGGCATTCCACCTAATGTGGTTCACCTCTAGAGGTGTTTACAGTTGGGATTTAGCTATTCCATTATGTTAGAGGTGTTGACATTGAAAAGGCATCCATGAAACTATTATAGACCAATTATATATTAATTATAAAAGAGGCTGTTTTTTTATTTCTATCATGACTAAATGGAATTGATTGACTCTTACTGAAGAAACTAGCTTCAAACAATATGGGCTGAAACAACCTTCAGCTATGAAAAGCGAAGCCAATAAGAACTGTGTACAATTTGCATTGTCTCTATGTCCATTAGAGGGGGACTCCTCTGGTTGCAAACAAGAAGTCTCATTGAGAGGAGCACGTGGGTCCATGGTCTTAGTCACTAGTCTTGAGTCTTTTCAATACAACACGATGTTCATCTAGAGTCAAGTAGACCATAGAGTAGGGTGTGCTTGAGCGCGGGGCTACCTTGAGCTTGAGAGCTCGATACCGTATGTCTCTACCTCCCTTATCCCCGTCCCAAATATGCTCACTTCCAATTGGTAATCGAAAAAATGCAAGATGTCGATGACCGTAAGTCAAGATAATGACGACCATGACGCAGAACTCAAAGCATCCAACGGCATTAATAACAAAAGTGATGACTATTTCTTCCGTTAGCTCCAGAGGTTAGCTTTCCATCCACCACTTTGCTCAGTAGAATTCTTTCTTTGGCAAAAGAGCAGCAAACAGCGTAGTTATCAGGAGTCCATGTTCTCACAAAGAAAACCGCGTGCATAAACGGAGAGGTGCCTCTCCAGTCGGCCCTCTACTCTGTTGGAAAAGCCAAAGCACTGGCTGCTTTGACCACGTTCCACACCCCTACCTACCCGAGAGCTGCTTATCCCATGACAGGTGGAGGCGGGCGTGGAGCTTGGCGTGAGGCGGTTCACGGATCAAAGAGGTGAGCGCTGAGCTAAAGTCCTCCACCAGGCGGGATCTAGTCTGCTTACGGGCAAACTGCAGGGGATCCGTGGCGGGTGGTTTGCGGAGGGATCGCGGTGAGTCTACGCGAGGAGTTCCGAGTGACCGCGGAGGTCACTGCAGTCATTAACAACCAAATGTGCCGCAAGAACAATAGAATTGGCGTTGCGTCAGACATTCGTGTGCCTTTGGCAAAACAAGAAAAGCTTCAGTTTCAGCGAAGCCCGAGGCCATTTTAGAGGATCATTGATTCAAATCTAAATGGAATGAATCATGAAAAAGTAGTGTTTCACTCTGACGGAACCCAGGACGTTGACAGTGCTGAATTTAGTTTTAAAGAACTCCAACATTAAAAAAATATTCGTAAAGGGAATGGAAAGAACTGCAGGGCGCTGTGACCTGCGAGGTTTACCGCTGCTGGAGTATCAGAGCACTCCTAATTCAAATCACACAATGTAATTGCGTCCATCTCTTGATGCTGAGTGTCCAGCGTTTCACTGCTTTAACGTCCTTCAGCGCCTCTCCTCCTTCTACATAAAAGTCGATGCATCAGTTCCCACTCGTGGTCCCACACATATACTCATTCCAACACATCCCGGCACTTTGCGAGACCCCTAGTTTTTACTTTTCTAACATTAAGGCAACACCAGTTGGGGTAGAAATAAGAACTAAAACAAAGAAAGACTTAAACAACACGGCATCAATTGTGAATTAAGTAACTTCGCAACACAAAGGTCACAAACTCTGGTTGAATATGTGTGTTTGAGCGCGTTAACGCCTCAAAAGAAAAGGGCCGTCAACACCAATATGCCTTAACATTATTATTGAGTTTATTTTGGTTGCCCTGCCGGCTTGAAACCTGTTTTGAATTTTATCGTATTGTCAACAAATTCCACCAAAAGACTAAAATCAACCATGAATGCATCCTACTATCAAGTATCCGCCCTGCATCACACCCCAACATATCCATGCCTCTTTCAGTTCACCTCTAAGACTACCAGCCACGCTGTCACACTGGGTGACTGCTTCCTTTATCATGAGGAACATGCCATTTATTTCGATTAAATCCCTCATATTATCTGCAGAGGAACATAATTATGAACAAATGCAAGATTAAGTTATCTATATCTGTAATACCTTATTGCTAAGTATTTGTGACCTGATTTACACCTTCAGGAACACTTTGTTCTGGGAAAGTGGTGTATATTTGGTGATCAAATCAGTGACAATGAGATAAACATAGAACACAATATTTGCAATATTGCTAACTGGGTTTCGGTGGGGACACTTCCAGGAGAAGTATTGACGTTTTCCTCCAGTGTTTACTTCAAAAAATATAACTTTGTAACCAAATCTTTAAAAAACAACATGTTCTTTTGAAATTTTGGATGCATACAGACTGATAAATAGGAGAATAACTCTGCAACAACTATAAGCCTCAAGAATCGGCCCTTTAAGTTAGAACCGTGCTTGTGATTGGACCAACCGTTTGGAAACCGGCAGTGGCAAAACACGTCTAATTGCTAAACGTCCGGTCTGGTTTTCTGTTGAACATTGACGTGTGAAAAGTGATTTATTTTTGCCAGCAGTTTGAAATCAGAGGAACTGGAACTTAAGGGTCTTATCTGAGCTGCTGTGGTTTGTGTGTTGTGTTATCTAACAGAAACAAGAGAACATAGATGGACGAATGGAAGCGCACATTGCCGACACACCTTGAAAGATGCTTTCTAAAACATCCGGCCAACTTGATCCCTTGAATGAAACAGTTGCAGAGTGTAATGTGTGTCAAGCTGTGGTCCTCTTTTGTGATGGAGCAAACAGGATGAAAATGGATGCATGTGTTTCTCCAAAGAAGAATGTGCATGCCTTTTAAAACACACAAACACACAGCAGTTCACTTTTCATTCAATATGCAAATTTCAAACCGCAGTTAATTTGCTGGTTCATGTTCAATTATGTCTCATATAGCGGCGCTTATGGTCAGCAGATTTTTTCTTGAGTCAACTGCACTAAACGTAAACTAAGTTGAACCTATGCAACAGCCACACGCACGTCTGCACGCGCGCCACGGGCCAAAATCCTGCCATTGATTTCGAGGGGAATAAAAAAAAAGGGAAAAAAAGTGTAAAAGTGCGTTTAGGTGGAACGACAGAGGGCGCGGGCGCGCGCTGATGCCTTTGGAATGTTAAGCACATCGACCCGCAAACACACGGACACGCACACGGACACACACTCAAGTGTTTCCTGCTGCAGCTGAAAGAGCAGAGATGGAAAAGGAGGAGAGTGAGGAAGAAACAGAACGAAGAGGGAGAGAGGGAGGGATGGAGGGAGGGGGGGGGGGGGGCTTCTTGAAATGTATTATCACACTCTGAATATTTTTTTTATCTTTTGCCCCCCACAAAATTTCCTTATACTAGCAACCCCCGCCTCCTTGTGTCACACACATATTAGATGGGGGATATGTAGTTTGGTTTGTTTTTGGTCCCGCTGTGGGGGGAGGGGGGGGGGGGCACTTTTCCCCACTTGTCTGGCCAGGCACAGCCGGCCCACAGACGGGCTGACTGGGGGAAATCAGACATGCAGAGGCGGTTCTAACGGAGAGCCGGTGCGGAAGCCTCGGTGCGGTGTTCAATACAGCAGCAGATCCGATGCTGCAATGCGCTCCTCGGCGTGCAGGTCGGTCCGCGCAGCTCTGCGGGCGTGCGTGCGTGCGTGCGCGTGTGTGTGTGTGTGTGCGTGTGCGAGGTGGAGGATACCGTCACCAAAGAATCACAAAGACACGACCCGGTATATAGACACACACACACACACGCATGTGTATATTTTGTATATTTGATGTGTTTTTTATGTATTTCCCCCATTGGTGCCATTAGGCAGTGCAGTGTGTGTGTGTGTGTGTGTGTGTGTGTGTGTGTGTGTACTATTGTATAAATCACTGCAGGCCGTGAACATCGCAGCAATTTCCCCATTAAGTAGACTATAAGTGACCATCTCCGTCTCCTTCACAAAAGAATGAATGAAGCCCTCCACATTTGCCCCGGCAAAAGAGCTGCACCAGCAGAAATATGACTGAGCTGACTTGTACTAAAGACCCCCCCCCCCACACCCAAGTCTCCCTTTGTCCTTTATATGACTGCATGAATAAAGACATTTTCCCACCAGGAGCTGTCAGCAGTCGGGACATCGAGCCATTTATTATTTCTATATGACACACACACACACACACACACACACACACACACACACACACACACACACACACACACGCACGCACGCACGCACACACACACACATGCGCGCGCACAAACGGCAACCCAACACCGCCTCTGCCGCCTCTCCCGTTACAGCTCAGCGATCGAGTAACGCGGCCGAGGTAAAAATGTTGCAGTAGCAGAGAGAGAGAGAGGGAGAGAGAGAGAGAGAGAGAGAGAGAGAGAGGGGGAGAGAGAGACTGCAGCGGCGGCGGAGATCAGCAGCAGTCCCAAGCAGTGCAGGTGAGAGGAGGGGGAGAGCGGGGGGAGGAGAGACAGAGAGAGAGGGAGGGAGGGAGAGAGAGAATGCGGGACTCTTGGAAAAAGACGCATCTACTACATTCGGTCCGTCGCCGAGGCATCCATCCCGAACACAGAGCGCCGGCTGCTCGGGTTTACGCTGGATTGACGACGTTGATGCTGATGATGTTGTTGGAATCTCCTGTCTAGCTCCAAACCTAGAGAGGCTCTCATTTGGGTGTTTTTTTTTTGGAGGGGGGGGTGTGATGGGGAAAACATGTGAAATATCAGGAGAAACTCGCCCTGAGAAGCTCTCTTGACTCTCTCCCAACTTACGTGAAGGAATCCTCCGGCTTGGCACGTTGCTCTACTGCGGAGAAGAAGAAGAAAGAAAGAGGATGAGGAGGAGGAGGAGAACGCAGCTCGCTGAACGTGAGAGGAGATCCGACAGCAGCATCCCAAACACTTTTTCTCCCCCCCAACAGATTCCCGTCCCTGTTGTCGGGTCCGTGCGCTCGGCGGCGCGCTGCTCTTCTTTTGTGCGCTGCTGCATTGCAGTTTCTAACTGTCCCACGTGTGACTGGAATACACTTTTTGTTCAAAGAACTTGGCGTTATGACCCGGTAACCGTCCTCGCGAGGGACCGGGACGTCTCTCCGGTTTACCGGGGAAGGAGAAGGCAAGTGGATTTAATCGAACGCTGGTAAATTAGTTGGCTCTCCCCCCCCCCCCCTCGCAGCGGGATGGGCTTTTTGTGCCACGAACCGCCCCGCAAAACCTTATTATTATAAAAGTTGCGGGGGTGCACTGCAGTGTAAAGGGGCAGAGTAAAGAAGGAGAAGCAGCCCGCACCGCCGGGGAGAAGCGCTGCGCCCGGACCCTTAAGCGGCCGCAGAGAGGAAGGTCCGAGTCGGGATAGATCCAACACCCGCGCTGCGAGCCGCGCCGGACCGCACGGCGCCAATAAGGAGGAGAGGAGCCGCGGCTCGGAGGAAGGAGAGGGAGGGAGAGCGCACGGGGGAGCCATGCAGGGGCTTGGCGCAGTGCACTCTTCCGCCGCCGCGCGGGCTCTCAGCCTCGTGGTCCTAGCGCTGCAGATGCTGACTCAGCTGCCGGGCGCGGACTCAGCCCTCCGCTACCGGGTGGCGGAGGAGGGCCCGCCCGACGTCAAGATCGGCAACGTGGCCGTCGACCTTGGCCTCACCGCTGGCACGGGCAGCGGGGATGTCACCTTCGCCCTGGAGAGTGGCTCCGAGTTCTTTAAGATTGACAACGTGACGGGAGAGCTGACGACAGGCCCGCGGCGCATCGACCGGGAGAAACTCCAGCAGTGCCAGATGATATTTGACGAGAACGAGTGCTTCTTGGACTTCGAGGTGTCAGTGATTGGCCCGCTGCAGAGCTGGGTGGACCTGTTCGAGGGCCGCGTGGTCATCACTGACATCAACGACAACACACCTTCCTTCCCCTCACCTGTGCTCCAGCTCTCGGTGGAGGAGAATCGCCCCATCGGAACCCTTTACCTGCTGCCCACAGCAACGGACAGGGATTTTGGACGGAACGGCATCGACCGCTACGAGCTGATTCAAGACGGTGCGACCGGGTCAGGTTCCACGAGACGAGTGGCCCCAGGGAACCCCGTCGCTAGAGTGGAGGGCCTCGTGGACCGCAGGGGTAGAAGCGGCGACAGCGGAGGAGGACCCAGAAGCACCGTGTTCGAACTGCAAGTTGCAGATATACCAGATGGCGAGAAACAACCGCAGCTCATTGTGAAAGGCACATTGGATCGCGAGCAAAAGGACTCCTACGAGCTGGTTCTCAGGGTGCGAGATGGAGGGAACCCGCCGCGTTCCTCGCAGGCCCTGCTTCGCGTTTCCATCACAGATGTGAACGACAATAGCCCGCAGTTTGAGAGGTCCACATACGAGGCAGAAATGGCAGAAAATGCCCCTCCAGGTACGCCCGTCCTCCAGGTCAGAGCTTCAGACCGCGACATTGGAGTCAACGGGCAGGTGGAGTACGTCTTCGGAGCTGCCACTGAATCCGTACGCCGACTCCTGCGCCTGGACGAGGCCACCGGGTGGCTGAGCGTCCTCCACAGGATTGACAGGGAAGACGTGGCGCAACTGAGGTTCACAGTGTCGGCCCGAGACCGCGGTCAGCCGCCCCGCACCGACCGCGCCACCGTGATTTTGGCCGTCCGGGACGAGAACGACAACGTACCCGTCGTGGAGATCCGAAAGATCGGACGGATCCCAGTTCGAGATGGAGCCGCGTTGGTGCCGGAGAACGTCCTGGTGGACACCCCCGTGGCTTTGGTTCAGGTGTCAGACCGAGACCAGGGAGAGAATGGGGCCGTGACGTGCACAGTTGTAGGGGACGTCCCATTCACCCTGAAGCCAGCTGGGGAAACGGCGCTCCCGCCCCTACCTGCAGACGAAGCCTTTGACAGGTAAGCTAAACCAAAGGTATCCCCTCATGGCACGTTACTGAAATCCATGAAAGAGGAAAGAACTAACCACTTATTGATGAGTAGCCCCTGAATGTACTCTGAATTCAAGAATTATATGAGAGATAATACATTACTAAGACAACACATTCTGATACTGAAGTAATGAACCAGTATTTAAATTAATGATGAGGTGATCATTAAGAAATTGTAACTCAGTAAAATGAACCACGAGGTGGCACAGAAACAACTTTGTTCATATTGAGCTAATGATATTTGGATATGTGCCATGAACCACCCTGAATTGCAGATACCAAGAAAAATGGTTCTCATTCATTGATAGAATGGCCATATTGATCAGATACACAACATACATCATTCATGGGGAAACATTTTGTTTTTTGTTCTTACCAGAGGTTAGTACTATTTTTATCTAATATGTCTTCTAGCCATGATGACCACACATTCAGCAGATGAGATTAGAGTGTTGTTGCTTTGAGATTTCTTTTCAGCTCATTTACTAATGCTACAGAGTACTTTTAACGTCATACAATCTGTATGCGTACATTTTAATTGAAGTCAAGGGTTATAGACTTTTTAGTTAAGTTACTACTGCAGTGCTGTAAATGTCAGCACCCTTCATTCCATTGTTGAGATATTTTCTAGAGGTATTGAATGGAGAGCGTGAGGGAAATAGAGAAGACCGTCTTAGGATATCAGGGCTACTGCTATGACATCGGTGCAATATGGCTGGTTGCTTTATTAGTCTCAGGGCTGTCCATGACAAAAGAAAGTCTGAGTCAGAGTACTAATCATGATAGGCCTTCAACAAATTAAATAGTACATTTAATAAAGTAAGAAAACCGTCTTAGTGTCCCCAGTATTGTTGTGTCTCTGCGGCTTACTACAGTCATTCAGGAAAACCTTGTTTTTAAGACCAAAGCATTGTAGAGCTCAAAGGATTAGTAGATTGATCGATTGATTGATTAGTCGATTGAGAGAAAATGGATCGCCAACCACTTTCAGGATCAATTAAGGGTTTCAGCATTTTAATAAGGCAATACATGCAGTAATTCTCTGGTCCCTGTCCAATTCTGAAAAGATGAGACCATTTCATGTTGTATTTACACATCTCTGGATTTGGTCCAACAACAAAAGGTGTTTTTAGGCCTTCACATGCATGGGACAATCTTTTAGGTGCAACCAATTTCACCACCATTTATTTTGTCATGAGAACTTTCATCACAATACAATTGCAATGCAACTGAAAGGGGTCAACGTTTATTTTTGGGAGTCGGGTTGATTTTTGTAAACTATAACGAAGAATAGAATGAAGCCATCAAACGATCACGTTGGGTGAAACAGTCAAAATGAGGCTATAGTTTACAGCATGAAACAAGATCCGTGGTCCAAAATGGGAAGACAAGCTGTGTTGGTCCCTTCAACGCGGCCAAGATCCCTTTCTTCCCATCTTACCTTTCACAATATAAGCCCAAGATATTAAAAGACCAGTTTAAAATGGTGACTTTGTTGAAGTTAGCCAATTGACCGTAATGGAGCAGCACTACTATTTTAAATGAACAACATCTGTATCATTTCTTTTCACGGTATCAACCACATTCATGAAATCTGTTTTTGAATTACTTTCACAGGAATAAGAAAAAGTACTTCTTACACACTTCCGCCTTGCTAGACTACGAGGCCACCAAAGAGTACAGTGTCACCATTGTGGCGGTAGATTCTGGCAGCCCCAGCCTATCCAGCAACAGCTCACTGATGGTGCGAGTTGTGGATATCAATGACCATGCCCCGGCCTTTCCCCAGAGCGTCGTGGAGGTCCACTTTGCTGAGAACAACTCACCTGGTGAAAGGGTAGTCACTGTTGTGGCCTCCGACGCAGACAGTGGAAAGAATGCAGAGATTGCGTACTCCCTCGACCCTGCAGGAAACGGGCCATTCTACATAGATGCAGATAATGGCGATATCCGTGCCACGGGCGTTCTGGACCGTGAGCTAAGAGAGAGGTATGAACTCCGGGTGATTGCCAAGGATAAGGGCACACCTCCCCTGCAGGGCTCCACCACGGTCGTCGTTCAAGTGACCGACCGCAATGACAATGCGCCAAAGTTTGTTCAGGAAATCTTCACGTTCTACGTCAAAGAGAACCTGCTCGCCAACCGACCGGTCGGCATGGTCACCGTGACCGATGCCGACGAAGGCGAGAACGCCGAACTCAGTTTGTTCGTTGAGATGGATGAGAAGAAGGCCGGCGAGAAAGCGGATGGCGAAGACGGCGAGAAGAAGAAAGAAGAGGTGTTTTCCCATCGAGAACAACACAGGAACCATCTTCTCCTCGGCGTCGTTTGACCGGGAAAAGCTTTCCACCTACACCTTCCGCGTCCGCGCTGTGGACGGAGGGGAGCCTCGTAAGACTTCCACCGCCACGGTCTCGCTCTTTGTGACGGACGAGAACGACAACGCGCCCTCCGTCACTTCCCCGGCCAATGAGTCCTACACCCTGCTTCCGCCTGCCAGCAGTGCCCGCACCATCGTCAGGACCGTGACAGCCGTCGACTCAGACACCGGCCCCAATGCGGACCTTCGCTACGCCCTGGTGGGGGGGAATCCCTTCCAGCTGTTTGAGATCGGCCACGCCAACGGGGTGATCACTCTGGCCGAAACTCTGGAGCGGCGCCACAGGGGCCTGCATCGCCTGGTGATCCGGGTCAATGACAGCGGGGCACCTTCCCTCTGTGCCACCGCCCTGGTACACGTCTTCATCAACGAGAGCTTGGCCAACGCCACACTAGTGGATGCTCAGGTAATTTTTCTATTCAACGTGTGGAACGTTATCTTAGCAACAGTAAGTGAAGTAAAACACATGCAACTTGAATGAGTGAAAGCCACTGTGCTGTTTTGGCGTGTGACCGCTATTCTTCTATAATTTCCCTTTAAATCAATTCACCTAATGGCTACTCTGATAAAGCATTACAATGAAGGAGGGAGGTAATGACGAACAATTGTGTCTCCCAATTGTGCTTAAACTAAACCGGTAAGAAGATTTTTATTTTTTATTTTTGACAGGATGAGACTCCACAGTTTGCATGGTGTTGCAATTTTCTTCCCATTTCTGAGGAAATAATTGCATCTATATTTATCCCAGAAAAAGAAGCCTGTTCCTCTTTTGAGGGCTATTGGCAATTCTTGCTTCTTTGTAGCTTGAGTGTTCTTTGTCCAGCATGCATTCTTATAATGACCATGTGGTTAAAATAACTGTTATTTCGGAGTGGTTCTTTTTTTTATGCCAAATTGAACTCAGAGCTGAGAGCATTAGGTGTGTGTGTGTGTGTGAGAGAGAGAGAGAGAGAGAGAGAGAGGGGGAGAGCATTAGGGGTGAGTGTGCTCGAGAGGTAGTGAGAGAGATGGCCCCCTCCCAGTTTTGGTCTTTTAATACAAAAGTGTGTTCATCTAAATGGCATTTTGGCTTTGGTAGTTTCCCTTCACAACAGGCCTGATTATTGATGGGCTTTTATTGTGCTGCGCAGAACCCGCCGAGCAGAACAGCACAAGGAAACAAACTTAGAGAAAAGCATTATGAAGTCCCAAATGCATTATGTTTGCAGGGGGAATAAAGTGAGATGCTCGAGTAGCAGGTTCTCGTCGGCATGAAAGATCCACGCTAAGGCGAGGAGGTAATTGACTAGACTGCAGATACCAAAAATACCATTCAGTTCAAATTTAGCGTATGTTACGCTGCCGGTAATCTTTCTCTCTTCTCCGCCCTCATTGTATTAATCAAATGCGCTTCCCATTATGCTTTGAAAAATGTTCAACTAAGCTATCATTTCTGGCAGGTAATAATTACTAAAACATGCGTCTGTGGCGTGGCCAGTGCCATTTTATTGACTGGTAATTAAATCGCCTCCGTGGCTTTGTGGTTACTTTGTTTGCTCTGAGCTTGCAGTCTGTGGTTTTCACACACACACACACACACACACACACTCCAAACTTTGTTCAGAACACGTCTCCTCCGAGGGAAAAGGTCTTCAGCTGTCAGGTCTGTGCGTGTAACATGACGTAAACAGTCAGCGGCGAGACGTTTGAGAGTAATAGAGGTAACAAGCTGAAATTTCCCAAAAGTGCGTCAAGCGAAGATCGCTTGCAGACCCCAAAATACCACGCCATCCTTCACTACCTTGATAGGCTCTTTTTGTATCAACGCGTTCAAACGGGAAAAAAGTGTTTCATCGCACTCTGCCTAAACCCAGACAGTGATCTCAGAGGAAGACACGCCTTGGAGCGCAGATGTTGGAAGAAAGGGCGCCGCCACGGCAAGCTGTGCATGTTAGGATATCTGTGGTGCCTCCCTGGGCCTTTCAACTCGGGGAAAAACAGGAGCCCCTCTGGGACTGGATATTTCCAGCTGAGCAACATAAACTTATTTCTCATTTTCTAGCATGTTAGCAAGGGCAGGTTCGTATTGCTAAAATGTTCAATCCCAATTTAAGTCATTTCACATCTCGATACACACGACAACACGGCCTGCCTTTTGATCATTCAAAAAATGAATAGTGAATGTGAAATATACGCATTGTGAAGAGCATACAGATACCCTGGATGCACCTAAATGAAATGATGAAGCCGCGTATTGAGATTTCTCACTATGTGATTTCCACACGATGCTCTTTGGTGAATCACCAAGCTGAATGATCGGCCCTCCGCAGATGTTACCGTCTAGCTCTTTTCCGCAGTATTATCACAACTACAACAACGCCGTGCTCTGTCTGCCCCCTTTGGGTTCTCGGGATCCTCGACACTCACAGATAAATCTCGTGTTTTGGCAGGAAAAAAACATCTCGTGTGATCGCAGCGTGAGAGTGTTGACTCGCCTCACATACAGAGACAAGTTGGCGTCCAAAAATAAGTTGTGTTTTACTGCACTATATATAGATATATACATGTTGTGTTTTTTTAACGGCATCGGCCAGCCAATCAAAAGTCTGGACACACTTTCTCATTGAATCGAATGAGAAAATGTGTGCAAACGTTTCACTTTTTACAGTGGGAGTAGAGTGAGGTACAAACTAAACAATCAAGTTGGTGAGAATTAGACCAAACGCTTGGTAAGCGGCAGGAACAACAGTGTTGACAGGCGGAATCAACCGCAGCGGGCCTAAACGGCGCCGGCTATCGAGTGGAACAATAGGGTATAAAATGTCCGGGCCGGTACAAAAGCTGCCTTTGATTACAATATGCATAGTTTAGTTTGATTGTACGGAGGAACTTGGCAGAGTAATTCAGCAGAAGTCATTGAGGAGAGAACACCTCCGTCTCATAATGAAGTCAAACCGAGTGGTGGATGGATGCCAGATGTAATTAGGGGAGGAGAACGTCTGCTACTGCTGCAGCGCCGCGGCAGAAAATGACTCAAGTCTTTTTCCATCCAAACGGTACTGGGTGAGCCACATGTTGGGTAATTAGCCACAATGTGATACTGCAGAGTCGGAGCTGGAGGAAGTGGTTGTGATATACGAGGCGCGGCTGTCATTCGGGTATATTTAAGGTGCTTTGTTCATCGGAAGTAAGCCGTCTTGTAGATCTGATTAACGCTCTCGGTGGTGATATGTTCCCATTCTTACAATCGCTGTTTAATCTCAGCGTTCTTTTAGTCTTTTTTTTTTCAAATCTGGAAATGGGGAATTGTCTCTTTGAATAGCGATAATAGTTAAGAACTACCGAGACTACGGCTCCCGGTCACCGCATCGATCGGCAGCCAACATCGGGCTGCTCCGGGTCAATAGCGTGGTCGCCGGTGACAACGCACACAAGCGAGTCCCTGAAGAGTGCGAGGCGTCGGCGTGTAGATGGATGGCGGCGTGAAGCCGCAGCCCGTGCTGCAGAACAACTCCGGGCTGCGTCAGAGAGAGAGCCAATGAGGCGGCGGCCAAACACTTTTAACAGTCTCTGCGCACACGCGCTTGCACGTGGACACAGCTATACATGGCGGGGACGCGCTCTCGCATAGGTTAAGTGCACATGGCGCTGCGTCGCTGTTTTCCATGTGTTTTGCTCACGCTGAGCCGGAGAGATGCCCAGCAGAATGAGAATGGGGGGGGGGGAATAAAAGAAAAATACCGCAGGCGGAGGGAGAACAATGGGGCTGAGGGGGGAGCGGAGCGCAGCCTGGCGGGGACAGGCCCGCTGCAGTGGAGGCGGGATAATGGAACGGGAGCAACACGAGTTGCTCGGGAAAAAAAAAAAAACAATGAAACACGACGCGTCTCTACTCTTATCTGTGCGCTTTATTGGAAGTGAGAGTGACTAATGCGCCTCGGTACGAGTGAGCCCAATAATAGGTCTTAGAAAATGTGATAGTCAAGTTCCCGCGCCGCAGATGCGCGAGCGGTGCTCTCGGGTGCAACACTCAAGGTTACTCGCCCACCACAGGGGGGGCTGAAATGCAACTTCCCACTCACCTTTCGCTCCCCGTCTCTCTCCCGCGCTCTTTCCTGCGAGCTTTATTACCCGGGCGCTCGGAAGGCACCAGGGATTACACCGGTATATAATTTCCTGCCTTGACAGGCCAAAGGGAATGACGCGCGGCGCTCGGAGACGAGGTGTCAGGGCTGCAGAATAGGTCGTCTCTCTAATGGACAGCTCACACACACACACACACACACGCACACAGACACACACACGCCGCGTGGGCCGGCGTAGCGGCATGCATACGTTTCCGCCTGCTTGTGTTTTCCCCGTAGCTCGCCTCGTCTCCGGATAATCACCGTCCCCAACACAGTTGCCATGTATTGATTAGGCATGTTCGGATTCATGACCCCGCCCCTTATTCCCTGCAAGGCTCGGCAGACCAGAACTGCACATGGTCTCCTGGAGCACGAGTCTGCAGAACCAGCTTCAACATAACCCCCTTTCAGCGTCAATGTGTTTGATCCATTATTTAGTCTCCTCCATCTCAAACCCAGAGACAAAATAGTACAAATTGATCAGAGTGGGCGATCGTGGATTTGCCTCGCTTAAAATAAATCTGTTAAACCCCAAGAGCAGGGAACAGGACCCTCGGGTGAAGTGATGCCACGGGGCACACGCGGCCTTCTATCCGTCCGTCCGTCCGTCCCCGGCGCGAAGTAAATTGCGATAGCAAATGCTCAGTAAATCCACGCCCACGCTATCATTTACAACAGGGCCATTGTTGGTTGAGGAGACAGTGGATGTGTTTGTGCTCCGGGGACATAATCACAGCACGTCTGCTGTCTTCATTTGCACATTTATCGACTGTTTTCTATTCCCTCTCCCAACCGTCCCGGACCCTAAAGTTTCCCTTTATTCTTTTAATCAGCTTTAAACAGCGTAATCCCAGGCATTCCGTGTACCCGAGCAGATGATGTGAGATCACAAGCGGCGAAATTACAGGCACGACTTGAAATGCTGCAACTGGGAAGCAAGAGCAATTATACATTTAGTGACATTCTTTGTGCTTGGGAATAATGGAGAGGCTCCCGCGCTAAAACACGCGGTGATGAGTTTAATTAAGTGGAAGATGCTGTTTGATGTTTCTCTGAGGCTCGCACCCACTGTGTCATCTTTTACTGTCACAGTTGGACTTTTTCTTTCTTATTTATGTTGCCTCTCTTTGTTGCTTTACTCTCCTTGACTCTGCTTCTTCTTCTTCTTCTCTTGTGCCTCTCCTCTGCACCCCCCCCCCTCCCACCTCCCTCCCAGGTGGCCCGAAGCCTCATGGCTCCACTGTCCCTGGACATTGCAGGAGACCCGGACAGCGAGCGCGCGTTAGGGAAGCAGCGCCTCAGCGTCGCCATCGGCGTCCTGGCGGGGGCCGCGGCGGTCATCTTGGTCATCCTGCTCGTAGTCACCGCCCGGCAATGCGGCGCTCAGGGCAAGAACGGCTACGAGGCCGGCAAGAAGGAGCCGGAGGAGGACTTCTTCAGTCCCCCGGGGGCTCAGCCGCAGGCCGCCCGCGGCAGGGGGTCGGACCGCGGGCGCAAACCCCGCCGGGACAAGCGCAACGGAAGCGGCGCCGGCGCGGCGGCCGGCGGAGGCAAGGCGGACCGGTCCCTCTACAGCGGCATCGTGACGGTCAACGGACTGCGTCGGCATGGCAACGACGACGACGAGGAGGACCTGAGCAGCGCCAGCGAGCGCCTGGCCGCCCGCTACTGCGCCATGGACGGCGACCCCGGCAGCCCGAGGATGGGCGGCGGCAGGAGGCACCAGTCCAGCCCGGATCTGGCCAGGCACTACAAATCCAGCTCCCCGCTCCCCGCGGTCAACCTGCAGCCCCACTCCCCCCCGGCCGAGGGCAAGAAGCACCAGGCGGTCCAGGACCTGCCGCCTTCCAACACCTTTGTGGGCAGCGGCGGGTGCGCGGGGAGCGCCGGCTCCAGCAGCAGCAGCAGCGGGGGAAGCGGCAACGCCGACGCCATGTCCCTGGGATCCGACCAGTGCTCGGAGTACGGCTGCCAGACCGGGAACAAGTACAGCAAGCAGGTAGGAGCTCTGCGGTACCGGGGGAGACCCGCCAGGGTTTCGTTCAGATTTTTAAGATGGATCTGCGACTCTTTATGTCGATCCAACTCCAAAATCTGTTTCTTTGTTCACACGATCGACCGCGAAGCCACGCCGCTAACATCTGAACACCATTTCATCGCCAAAGAGTCCCGAGCCTGCGAGCGGCGTGCCGCCCCCCCGTTTTCAGAGCATGTGTGCGCAACCGGCATCCCTCAGATGAGCGAGATCGAATGCAGGGGACATGAGTCAACCCCCCCCACCACCCCCCCCGTGTCAGGCTCGTGCTCGCCCTCAGTATGCACCCCCGAGGATCCCAGTTAAGAGTGGGGACGCAGAGGGAGTGGGCGGACAGTTGCCTCCAGCGGGGTAATTGGTCATTTCGCGTCCCTGCATCCCCTGTCATGCTGTTATCCATTTAGCACATATGTTTATTCTGCAAACGATAGTCGTTGTAGCGAAAATGAATGAACGGGCTTTGGTGTGTTTGCTCCACAGAAGCTCCGGCTAAAAGCAGTACTTCTGCTGACGAAGAAGTACTGCATGCAGACCCCCACACACACACACACACACACACACACACCATCTATCATGTTGGACACACTGACACAGCAGGGCCCCCCCCCCCGGTCCACGGCGGGCGCTCCCGGGAGCCGCGCATGACTGACGGCTCACCCTTCTTAGAGGGGGCGTCGGCTGGTTTCCTTGACGGACAGCTCAACGTCCGTCATCCCCGTGGTGCAAGAATGTGCTGATGCGGTCATTAAAAAGAGGAAGGAGAGGAGCTTCTTCTACGGCTAATCAATTCATACGCGGGGGGGCTCTCTGATCCTGCTCAACACACACACACACACACGCACACACACACACACACAGAGGTTAATCCATTACGCAGTCAATCCGCTTAATCTGCCGTTCCCGGGGAATGAAAATGCTTACTGGGAGAGTTCGGCGTTCACGCTTACGTGCGCTCCAAACATGGCAGCACACATACGAGACGCGCAGACACACACACACTGACAGCTCAATGAATTATTGATCGCATGGGGTAATTAACTCCTCTGCTGCGGTGGAGTGTGCCCCCCCCCTCCCGTCCCGGGACACAGACCTGCGTGCGTACGTGCCTCAGACTTTGGGCGCACGCGCTCACTTACGTGTCAAAATGTGTCAACTCAAGCAATTTGGCGGGCAGGTGTTTGTGTCGGCGGGCGCCCGTCACCGTCGCTTCAGGCGCCGCTTATTTCGACGTGGCATTTTTTTTATACGTGAGTGCGAGTGAGAGATGGACTCGGTGGCGTGTAGGTGCCAAACGCAGGAACTGGGACTTCAGACCGGCAGTAAGAGAGAATCATAGGAGGTTTGGGGGGAAGGAAGACAGAGCAAATGAGAAGGGGGGGAGGGGAGGGATAACATTTCAAAGCTACTTCACAGGATTAACGAAAACTCCCCAAAACGGCTCATCTTTAGTCAGGACATCAGCAAACCAACTGGTCCTAATGGGAAACACACAAACGAGAATGAAGTGCATGGGAGAGGCACGATGGACGTCTCTCTTTGGAACCCAGAGGAGAGGAAAGAATCAATGGGAACGAATGAGAACGTGTTGAAGTGTTAAAGGGGGGGTTGAGATTCTTCTTTCCTTTCTGTTTTTACTTTGGGGGGTTAAATTCATTGATAGCATGAGCGCATTTGTTCAGTACAATCCAGAAGCGTCACACTTATTTTCGGTTTGGCAGCTGGTGTGTGTGTGTGTGTGTGTGTGTGTGTGTGTGTGTGTGTGTGTGTGTGTGTGTGTGTGTGTGATCATGGGGGTATTTTCTGATGCCAACACGATTCCTTCAGTGGTTCCAGTCCAGATAACAAACTGTGCCTTCCTAGAATAAATAAGATTAACTTCTTACGCACATATAAACCCACAAGAGGTCTTAACATATTTTAGGTTTGGAGGTTCCAGAGACGTCCGTGCTGACGGAGAAGGTGTAGCGCGGTGTGCGTTTGGAGAGAGGCGGCGAGGGAGAGCGAGGGTGGACTGCTGAGATGTGGGTCATCAGGATACCCGTTGGCACGTTAATGATCACAGCACTCACGTGGCAATGCAGTCAATATGGCAAAAGCGGCCTCGTTCTGCCCTCTAACCAGCCCCCGCGCACAACGCACGCCGCGCCACGGAGCCGCTCCCACTGCTCGCCGTCCCCCAGCAAACGCGACACAGGTCACCGCTGCGGCGTTTCGGCGTTTTGATCCCGTCCTGGTCCTGTCATTGGGTTGTCCCTCCATTGGACGCTTTGTTCCCACCCTGTCGCTCTCTGGCCCTCCTCCTTCTCCCCTAAAGACCTCCCCTCTTCTACCACGCCGACCTCTGGGAACGAGCCGAGTCGGCGCTTTTACGAGTGCGACTTCTTCTTTTACTGTAGTAGGCACTTTCTCCCTGGACCGGTGTGTGTGTGTGTGTGTGTGTGTGTGTGTGTGTGTGTGTGTGTGTGTGTGTGTGTTAGGATAGAGCCACGAAGACAGATTTGAACCAGACGTTCACACACACACACACACACACACGTCCGATCTCTAATCAATGAGTGGAAACCGGTGGGTTGACAGTGCAGTTTTTTGGTGTGTTTTTGTCGATTGCACAAATTTGTAGCGCTTGGCGAAGGTCAGCCCGCCGCTGCGTTTTGGACACGGCAAGGACGAGCCACAGCAAATAACTTTGTGGCGAGTGGGACTCATCTGTCCCGGGCCTGTCCATCTAATTGGACAGTGTGGACGGGCGCCGGCGGAGGGATTACGTCTAC